CGTTTCCTGTCTGTGTGGAGGGGACCCTTGCAGGGCTCGTTTCGATTCCTCCGATTCGATTCGATTCAATTTCGATGGCTTCCGATTCCGATTTGATTCGACTTGGGATTCCGATTTGGGTTCCGATTTCCCATTGGAGGCCTACTGGCCTGCCGATTTCCGCCGATTTGACTTTTTCCGACTCTGCTGCCGACTTCCGCCGATCCGATTCAGTTCGGTCGCCGATCCGATTTATCGATTCGATGTTGGGCTCTCCTGCCCTTGGGGGCTGCGCCGATGACGTGGGGGCCGCGTCAATGCAGATTTCCAGAGTAAGTCACTTGCACGAGGCTTTCCGGCAAGTCGAGCAAGTAGTTGCCTTGAAGTTCCAGCCAGCTAAATGTTGCTTCGTCCCACTGCGGGCTGGGTGTGGTGCAGCCACGGCCGCGAGGGCCACAGCGGCCCTCGCTCAATATGCCCCCGGCTGCAAAGCCTTCAAAGTCCAGGGGTCCGCCACATATCTAGGAGTCATGCTGGGCCTTGGGGCCGACCTCGCCGCTCAATGGAGAGGTCCTGGACAAAAATTGTGGTCGAGGTGTCGCGAGTTTGCTTTGTCCAGCCCCCCCCGAGGCCTCGGTCAGGCTGTATCTGACTGTCGCCCTTCCTTGCCTCTCTTACGTTGCCCAGCTTTTTCCTCCTGACCCCCACGTCACGGCCAAAAAGGGCCTAGCGTTGCCCAAACTTGTGCGGCTTCCCCCGCTCCGAGTGCCCGAACTGCTAAGGATAGGCGGGTGGCATAAATCTGCAGCACGGATTCTCATCGAATCTAGTTGCATTGCGAATGCTTGGCGCGCGAGTCGACGGACCTTCTCGGAGACTGGGCCGTCGGGGGGCGTGGATCGCCCCGTCTGCCGCCCCCCCGCCTCCTGCTCTCCCTCCTCGTGATCCTCCTGCTGCTGCTGCCGCTGCTGCTCCTCGTCCTCGTCGTCGCCCTCGTCCTCCTCCGCCTCGTGCGCAACCCTCGTCCCCCATCCTCTCCTCCTCTGGCGGGAGTGCGGGGATCGGCTTTGGGTGGCCACGGTGGAGTGCGGACTCCTCGCCAGACTGACGCGCGCCGGATGTGGTCGCCTCGCTCTGGGGCGGCAGCGGCCTGCCATCGTTCCGATGTCTTATGGCGTTCGACCCGCCGTGGTCTGAATTCGCGGCCTCTCCTGCGAAGCGACGGCGGCCCTCTCGAGTGGAAGGAATGAGGTGCAGTAACTGACTCAAGACGTGGACGATTTTTGCTGTTATGCGCGGCCCACCACTCTGCTATGGTGGGATGTGGCCTCGGTGCTAAGCGCTCTCCGCGCTTGAGCCAAAATGGCTACGGTGCTCGAGTGCTCGAGTGCTGCTGCCGTCTCGAGTGCTGCTGCCGCGCATCCAGAGGGCTGCGATCCAGGCTGCTGTCACTGCGTCGGAGCTGCCGGGTGAGTGCTCACGGAGAAAGCGTGTTCCAAGCTCCCAGTCCCTCGTCCTTCTCATCGTTGCCCCCCGACCGTATCCTTGATCTGATTGAGCGGCGGTTTGCAACGTGGTGTCCCGACCGTCCTGCGCTTGGCAAGATCGTGATTGCCGAGAGGTGGGGATGTCTCACATGCACGCTTGCTTCCTGAGCGCCATCTCGAATTCGGCCACATTTGAAGGCTATCGCAGGTGGCTGGTTACTTCTGCGAGAGTCGGTACATCGACTCACAAGACCTGCAGGCTTTGGATGTATTGACGACTGCCTTGGGATCGGTATATGCGCCCCCGCTTCTCTCGCCTACTATCTTCGCTGTCCCCGTTTGTCTCATCTCCTCGCTCTCCCTCGCGCCATTATGCCTCGCGATCCCATCATCTGTCTCGGGGCAGGGAAAGTAGGAGTAGTAGTAGTAGTAGTAGTAGTAGTAGTAATAGTAGTAGTAGTAGTAGTAGTAGTAGTAGTAGTAGTAGTAGTAGAAATAGTAGTAGTAGTTGCAGTAGTAGTAGTAGTAGTAGTAGTAGTAGTAGTAGTAGTAGTAGTAGTAGTAGTAGTAGTAGTAGTAGTAGTAGTAGTAGTAGTAGTAGTAGTAGTAGTAGTAGTAGTAGTAGGAGTAGGAGTAGTAGGAGTAGGAGTAGGAGTCAAGCTAGCCAGCTCGAGCGAGTCAAGCATGGCATGCCCAGTCCCACCCGCCCTCCCACAACATAAGAAGCAAAGCTGGCACAACTGGGGGCCGAAGTCACACCGGCCAGCCGGTTTGGTACAGCTGATGCGGCCGCGATGGCGGTTGCCGACGGGAACTGGCGAGCGCGTGTTGAATGCCGCGCACGCATTGCCAGACGAGTCGAGAATGGCCCGGTACACCGCAGGAAGCCAGAGGTGGCCGGAGGAAGCCCGACGGTCTGACAGGACACCCCAAAGCATTTTTGTGAAAAAGCATTGGGTTTTTGATGTTTTTATGTTGAAATGCTTGCAAACACACGGTGTTCGGTAGGATTCTGACATGAACGCGCGAGTGTGCTCTTTGTGGTATTTTTTGCACAGGATTCGCGGCCTGGGTGCATGACAGAGCATCGCGAGTGCACCGCGCGATGACGTGAAATCGCTGGATTTGACAGAATTCTTAAGATTCCTATGGTTTTCCTATGATTTCAGCAAGAGAGCCCGGGCGGGAAATTTGTACAATTTTTGTGAAAAAGTATTGGGTTTTTGATGTTTTTATGTTGAAATGCTTGCAAACACATTGTGTTCGGTAGGATTCTGACATGAACGCGCGCGTGTGCTCTTTGTGGTATTTTTTGCAATGGATTATCGCCGTGGACGACAGGACGTCCATGTCGAGAGGAAAAAATAAGAAAAATGTTGATTTTATATTGTTTTTTACAGGTTAGGATGGGACCCCCGGATGCGGCCCCTATGGCCGGCCTGAGGGGGGAGTAGGAGTATATTCTAATAAGGAATAAGGATAGGAGTAGTAGGAGTAGGAGTAGTTAATGGATTATCGCCGTGGACGACAGGACGTCCATGTCGAGAGGAAAAAATAAGAAAAATGTTGATTTTATATTGTTTTTTACAGGTTAGGATGGGACCCCCTGGATGCGGCCCCTAATGGCCGGCCTGAGGGGGGAGTCGGAGTATATTCTAATAAGGAATAAGGATAGGAGTAGGAATCGGAGTAGGAGTAGTAGCAGTAGTAGTAGTAGTAGTAGTAGTAGTAGTAGAAGAAGAAGAAGTAGTAGTAGTAGTGGTAGTAGTAGCAGCAGCAGCAGCAGTAGTAGTAGTAGTAGTAGTAGTAGTAGTAGTAGTAG